ATCTACATTCTAAAATGATCACGAATGATGCACCGAAAAAAGTTAATTATCGTAGGTATCGTAGGATACACAGCAATAATCGTCTGTACGACCACATTGACGAGCTTATCCCTCCTACATGGACTAATCGATAACGGAGACGTTGTTTCAGGGATAGACGAATGACGTTAGTACTTTTAATTTGAGCGCCGTCCGAACCGAGGCGCGGCAACCTGGTTCTACATGACTCTATTTATCTCCCTCTTTGCCGCCGTCTCAATTTTTTCCTTGTCTAAGGAGCTGGCGGCGAAGCTGTCATTTACTCGTAATAATCGCTTTTTCCCTCGATTGAGAGCGAGGGACAACGCGGAGCCTGGCAATCCTGGCTGGCGTTTTATTTAGCTAAAACGACCTTGTTTCCTTCCGTTTTACAGTCCTGTCCTCCTGTCACAGTNCATCCCTGCCCGGCCGTTTGGCGATGATGCCAGATGGACAGCGTTAAATGAATTTAACTGCACGAGAATGTAATGGAGATGTTGCATGTGTGAGAAATTTGCGATTTGACCATTGATTCCTATGTAAAAGTTCGCGAGAACCACGATGGTGCCACTGGTTTTCTCAGAAATCAACTCCCAAGCTCAAGAAAAGCTTTCTAGTTGAAGCCAAAATGGAGGCGATATCCCACGCTACCCTGAGAGTTCACCTCTACATCAAGACAAACTCTTCATGCAAAGATAGGGAGCAAGTACATTAGCAATGATGCCGTGTTTTCAGTTTTGGAGTCCCCAAATAAAGTGGCAGCCCTGTCAATGTATTTGCTCCCTATCTTTGCATAGAGAGTTTGTCTTGATGTGGAGGTGGACTCTCAGGATAGCGTGGGATATCCCCTCCATTTTGGCCTCAACTTGAGAGCTTTTTTTGAGCTTGGGAGTTGATTTCAGGGAAAACCAGTGGCACCATCGTGTTTCTCGCAAACTTTTACACAAGAATCAATTGTAAAATCGCAAATTCCTCACACATGCAACATCTCCATTCTAAGATGATCACAAATGATGCACCGAAAAAAGTTAATTATCGTAGGTATCGTAGGATACAACAATAATCGTTCATACGACCGCATTGACGAACTTATCCCTCCTGCATGGACTAATCGATAACGGAGACGTTGTTTCAGGAATAGACGAATGACGTTAGCGCTTTTAATTTGAGCGCCGTCCGAATCGAGGCGCGGCAACCTTGTTCTACATGACTCTATTTATTTCCCTCTTTGCCGCCGTCTCAATTTTTTCCTTGTCTAAGGAGCTGGCGGCGAAGCTGTCATTTACTCGTGATAATCGCCTATTCCCTCGATTGAGAGCGAGGGACAACGCGGAGCCTGGCAATCCTGGCTGGCGTTTTATTTAGCTAAAACGACCTTGTTTCCTTCCGTTTTACAGTCCTGTCCTCCTGTCACAGTTTCAGACAATAAGCCGCCTCAGTGGAGGAAAGAAAAAATCCCGCCAGACAGACAGACAGACAGCATGAAACGGGGCAGAAACGCTCGGAAATAATTGTCAAAGAACCAATGGTGCCGATGGAGATGCTCTCCTGTCTTCTATTTTTCACTCTCTCGGCGGGAAATTATTTAAATCAGGGATATTTCACATTTGGACTGAAATAAACCGAAAAAAGCAGCCGACAGGGTATAAAAAATTAACACTTCGCTTATCCAGTAACATGTGAAAGGAGCTTGATCAAGGGAGCTTGATGGCGCCGCGGAGACCGCACCGTGTTTGGCGCAATGCGTGAAGTATTCCGACAGTCTTGTAGGCGCTATGCGTTTCACGCCGACGACCGCTGCTGAACGCACTGTGTTTGATGCAATGCGTGAAGTACTCGTGCGGTCTTGTAGGCGCTAATATGTGTTACATGCCGATCGCGGCGCCGAGGGCTTCTCCTTTTCATCTCAAGTCCTCGTCATCATTTCCCTCTAAGTCGCACCGTTCCAGGCCAAATTGCGTGTTTGGTTTCTCTCTTAACTCGACTAATTAAAGGTACTGTCTCTCGTATCACTCAGAGAAGACAAAATCAGAAATTTATTACTATACTCTCAGGAAATGAGAGACTTTGACGCCTTTTCTCGTTTTTTTTCTTTTTCTTCTAAATCAGATTTTTTTTTTATACATACACTTTAAAAAATTGCAAACTTTTGCCGCCTTTTAGATTTGCCGGCATGGGCCGCGGCCCATAGGGCCACCCCCTTAATCCGGCCCTGCCGAAGGGATCAAAAACTGGAAAGTACTTAAAAAGGTTTCCCCCTCGATACGAGTAGGTACAAACGTCTTAAACCGCAAATCGATATCATAATTAGAACTAAAGTCATGGCCAGTGGTGCGTGACTTTTGAATAACCCTGTATGTGACAACATCATGTTTCTCGCAAAATTATACACAGGATTTTGTACTTAAATTGCAAATTCGTGACATATGCAAAGGCTTCATTGATGTAGAGTACCTTTACAGGGAGAGTATGGACAACTCGATTTATGTAGCTCTTTGGGCCCAAAAGGGCGACAACGTGAAAAACGAAAATCACTAGAAAAGTGCCACCTACCAACCTATGCATTTGAAATATTGATCAATAGGGCCGACAGCGTATTGTAAACAAGCGTTTTTAAGGATTGATACTTGGAAACTGAGAAAATTTATGTGAAATCCAAGTTTTAAACCTGCTTCTATAATTATCGATCAGTGTACCTACTCTCGCAGTTTAAATTAGTGCCACTGGATAATTCGAGTTCAAAGGTCGGCTGCCCTTTTGGGCCCCAAGAGCTACATGACCTGATCAAACTTAACCTTCAAATTTTCGAGTTGTCCATACTCTCCATATACAGGTATTCTACATTGATAATTTAAAAAAAAAAATAAATAAAAAACATCAATATTTTATGGCGGGGAATCTGGCAACGTTTAAAAGTTCATACGGCTATAACTCGGGGTTTCCGATCTGGGTCAGGTTGTCTGCAAGGTGACAAAACCGGGATTGGAGGGGAGAGGGGGCGCCTACTTGGGATCCGTCGGCGCGGCTTGCGGGAGGTGCGGCGCGATGCAAAAAAGAGCCCGGGAACTTGCGAGGGCCGATCGATGGGCCGCACTCGATCCGCCGATGAAATATCGCTCAACTTTTTTCATCATCCCCGAGCCGGGGCCGAGACCGGGACCGGACCGGCCGTGCGAGTTTCCACACCCGCCTCCTGATCTGCCGTGCTGAGGAAAAACGCCTATGAACCTTCCTACGTTGCCAAATTTATTTTGAAAAAATACGAATTTTCGGGGAAACTTGTGAAAATTTTCCCTCCAATTTTTCAAGAAATTTCCTTCGCACTGTGCACTGAAAAAATCTCGGTGTCTTTACTAAGAAAAGGGTCAAATTACCAAGAATTCAGGGTTCTATTTGATCCCAGTTTTTTTGGTAAAATTACCATTTATGGAATTAGTAATTTTACCGAGAAATCTTGGTAAAATTATTGAACTTTCTCGGTAATTTTACTCGACCTTGGTAAAAACGCCAATATTTTTTATCGACTGTGGTAGAATTACCGAGAAAAAATGGCAACGTTACCGGAAATTGATTACCAATAAAAGTGGTATTCTTACCTGAAAAAAAGTACCGGTTTTCAGGTTAGCATACCAGTCTGTCTTGGTAAAATTACCAATAATTGGTAAAAAAAAAGTGAGATGGTAAAGGTACCAACGGACCTTGGTAAAAATGCCGAGAATTTTTTTTCAGTGTTGTGAAAATTTTTCCTCCAATTTTTCAATAAATTTTCTTCGGAATGTGATCTAAAGAATCGGAGAATTTCATCTACAAATATTCATTATTTGCCTCGAAAAGTAATGTTTTGAGAGGAGAAATTTGGCAACCCTCGGATGTTCATACGGCGTTTTTCCTTAGCACGACAGTATGTAACATCCCGTTCGATCCTCATCCCACTCTTATGACCTCTTTCACTCACCAAGGATGAGATTCCCGCTGTGGAGTTCTGCCGCGCTAAAGAAGAACGCCGTATGCTGCCGTGCTAGGGAAAAACGCCAGATGAACATTCGAGAGTTGCCAAATTTCACCAGATAAAATATGTATTTTTGAGGGATGTTATGCATATTTTCACTTGAAACTCTGAGATAATTTCGATTAAATTGCGTACAATTTGTCCGAAAGTTTGGAGGAAAAATATTCGCATACTTTCTTAAAAATTCGTATTTTATCTAAAGAAATTTGGCAACGCCTGCAAGTTTATACGGCGTTTTTCCTTACCGTACTTGCTCCATACAACGGAACGTGTACTTTCAGCAGCCCACGGGTTAATTCGACCCGGCTTGGGCACTTTTGGCTTAAAGAGCTTTTTGTGTACTTTGTAATGATTCGAAACGAAAAGAGAGCGCGTTGTTTTCCTCGAGATGTTTTCCGGATATTGAGAAGATTAAAAGACTAATCAAAGACCTTGTATTAGTTTTCTTTTTGACACTATTATTGAGTGCCAATCTAGCAGAAAAATGAAAGCAGAGGGACACAGTAAGGGTGGATGCAGATAGAGAGCTTGAACAAAGTGTTTTTCTGAAAGTTCTCCCAGTATTAACCTTGTGAGTGCGAAGTGTTGTCAATTGTGATCGAGAAATTTGTTTAAATTAACTTGGCTTCTAGCAAGGAATCCAATCCTCAGCTCTCTGAGCACTGACAACGCTGAAAGAATGTGCTTTTGAGCAGCGGCGAGGGGTTAATGATCGATTATCGATAATTTCCCATTTGAAGCTATGATAAAGAATCGATTATTAAGGCGTTCGCTGCGAACTACTGTATATCGATCCTTCTCCATAGGTTAACATGGCAGATCAAACGATATATCGAAAACCTCGCCACGCCACTGTTTTTGAGAAAAAGCGGGCCCGATAAATAACTGAAATGCAAAAAGTTTCTTGCCACTTCGTTCAGAGCTTCAATGGATAACACGGGGTAAAAACAAAGCCATCAGTGAAAATACTTACGTCTTCTGAATCGAGAATGTCCCCGTCCCACTTTTAACTTCTCGTAATTTATATCCGAATTTCGCGTGTTGAAGCTTCTGTCTTATTTCAGACCTTTCATCTGTAAGGACAAAACAACATGCGTTTGAGAGAGTTGATTCAGATCAGTGTAAACTTTAAGAATGCAGGGTGCCAATGCAGGTCGTCAAATACACAGGGTGCCCCAGGATTGAGAACGAATATTGAAGGAGTCGATTCTTTGGGTCAAAAAAAGACGATTATGCGGAAAAACTTTTTCTCCAAAAACGCTTTCCCTGAGGGCTAAGGCCCCTCAAAGTTGTCGACAAAATGTTTGTTACGCTAATCACTCGCAAGTCGCAACTTTTAAGTGTTATCGAGAAAAATAAGAGCACACTAATTCAGCAGGACAGTTTCTTTATCCCCACACTGGAAAAAAAAAAACACATTGGATCTAGAGTCTAGACTCTTGAAAACATTGACAAGAAGAAATACTCTTGATTCAATCGGATTTTTGCTTGAATTAAGACAAAATCCGCTTAAATTAAGGGGCTTGGTTCTAGATTTAAGCTAGTTTCTGATTGAATCAAGAGTACTTTTTCTTGTCGATGTTTTTAAGAGTCTGGACTCTAGATCCAATGTGTTTTTTTTTCCAGTGCAGATGTCTTAAAATATCCTATGGCTTTGGTCGATGGAACCAAACATTTGGTGGAGGACTGGAACAACCAAATCTTTTTGGTTAATCTAACCGAAGAAGTAATTCAAAGTAACTATAAACTCGGAAATTTTTAATTGCGAACTTCCATTCGATGAGAAGACTCCAAGGGCTTGTCCCGATCGGAGTCCCGGGAATAATTGGCTAATTAAACTATCATCGTTCTATCAGGTTGCAATAACTTAAATGGTAAAAAGACCCGAGTACGAGACAAAATGTGGCGTAATTTTTATCCTGCACCTGCCGCGGTACCTCGGAGGCCGTCGCTGAACCAGCAATTACGACCCCCATCTCTGCCCTCTACCCTCGGGGCAAGGGGTTGAGAGGGAGCCAAGGAGGAGAAGAGAAGCGAAAGCGAATGAAATTAGGCTCCTGGCTTTTCCACCACTTAGCTCCAACTAAGGCGAGGCGAGGTAGTGTGTTCGGAAGATTGACAAACACAGGCAGACAGACGAAGGAGAGACACACGGGATGAGGACCTAAACGCTTGCGGATTTTACTGGAAAACGTGCTTTTCGCCGACTAGAGGATCGTTTCCAACCCTTTGGTTTCTTCCTACGCGAGTGGGTTGCTTTCCCGTGTTCCCGCACTCTAGGGGGACTGCTGGAACCGTCTCTCGCAATTGGGGGGAAATGGGGTAGATTTAGGGTACACTTGGCATCGGAGACAATACGACCACTTAAACACTTTAAGGGTGCGCTCGCAAGGGTTGCAGTAATGAATGGAGCAGGTTCACTCTCAGCAGGGTTGTCTGCACGCAAAATATTTCGAAGTTTAGGGCGGTGCCTCCATCAATGTTGAATTGTGGTATTTATGCTGAGAAGGAATTACGCGAATACATTGAATCCGAAGAAATTAAGCGACATGCAAATCCTTAACAATAATTATAAGCAGTTAAGTTTGATTCCAATCACTTACATCATTTAATCATTTAATATACACTGTTCCATTTGGCATAATTACGACAAAAATATGAACACTTTATGCTTGAACAGACCTAATTATTACTTGCTCATCAATAGGTTTTTTCTGTGGACAAAGGAACTGACTTAGTAAATTGCGAAAACATGTTTGAGGGCGCTTTTTTCGCTTCATCGAGAGGTCCATTTCCAGCGAATTATTTTCGGAGACAAATTATTTTGATAATCCCGAAGTGGCTCTTTTTTTTTTTTTTTTTTTTTTTTTTTTTTTTTTTTTTACATTCCCCCAAGGGATTCAAAATTTTCAAAGGCATTAACCCGGTAGCCGGTGACTGATGAATTAGTTGTTCGTTGTTCAAAATTCGTTGCTTAATGGACGAGAGAACGTAACTACAATTCATCATGGCGGAATTTCAACATTCAAATTGTAGTCTTGGGAAAAATCTGGAGCATTTCTGACCGAAAATATAACTAATTTTCTTCCTGAATCCACGCAAAAATCAGTGACATTCTGGACAGAAATTGCAGTCTCTAGGACTGTGATCCGCACTCCCACCGATAGATACTGCTAAAACTAGTACGCAATGAATCAAAACTCCTTCAGTTTTTGGCATATGCAATACGGACATCCGTCGAGCTGAAATAGTTGCATCAAGGCGTTGTCGTCAACACTTCTTGTTATTCATCGCTACAGATGCCTACGATTAGTGCAAAGAAAGTCAAAATGCCTTCAATTTTTGGCACAGCGAGAAACAAAATGGGAAGCCATTAATCTCCGTTTGCGACGTTGCAAACTTCCCTTACTTTATTTTTTCTTCGGGAAACTATTCAACGTAATTCCTTGAAAACTTCCTTCTCTCTATGATCGGAAAATTTAATATAGATTCCAAGCTACAAAGTCGGCTTGTTTCTCCTGAAAAAATTAAAATAGGAGCGAAAATTTGGGCACACCGCAATAGAGGTGCGTGGTTTCGCCCTTTGGCCGTCGATAATAGATTCGGACGTCCATCAAGCTTCAATAGCTGCATCAAGATGCTGTAACTAAAACTCTCGTCGATTGACCCACCTGCAGCTAGTGCGCAGGAAGTCAAAACGCCTTTAAATTTTTGTATGCAACACAGACATCCGTCGAGCTTGAATAGTTGCATCAAGATGCTGTAACTATAACACTCTCGTCGATTGACCCACCTGCAGGTAGTGCGCAGGAAGTCAAAACGCCTTCAAATTTTTGTAATGCAACACGGACTTCCATCAAGCTTGAATAGTTGCATCAAGATGCTGTAACTAACACTCTCGTCGATTGACCCACCTGCAACTAGTGCGCAGGAAGTCAAAACGTCTTCAAATTTTTGAATGCAACACGGACATCCGTCGAGCTTGAATAGTTGCATCAAGGCGCTGTCCCCAACGCGTCCGTCGATCGACCCAATCCAGCGCGGAAAATCAAAACGCCTTCAAGTGTTTGTATGCAATACGGACATCCGTCGAGCTTTTGAAACCCTAAAATCAGTTACACTTCTTCGTCTGAGAAATGACGAGTTCACCTATTCAAAATCCTCTGGGCCCTATAAGAGAAATACTCCGCTCGAAATCTCTGCGAAATGTTCTCCGTCGAAAACTGACACCTTGATTTTCCGATATAGCTCATCAAAAACATACGCCTGCAGTTTTTATTTTCCGTGGAGAGTCAAAAATACTTGGGGTCATATTAATAATTATTCCTTAAACAGCTCTTTTCCTTATTAAAAGACCCGATTTAGTTTACATTGAGAGCATCTCCCTTAAGGGAGATTTTAGGAGATCCTAGTAGTGATTTTCCACCGCAAAGATATATACGGCGAAAGAAAATATATCGCAGTTTTGTAAATTTCAAGATAGTTCCACACCTACTTTAAAGTTTGTCAAACTCATGGAATTCTTTATTCTACAATTCGTGCCTTTTGCAAGCATCGTAATCCCTTGTAAGGATCCATCCCTAAAGTTACAATGCTGAATTTAACTCGAGGTTGGCAAAAATTGTCCATTTTATGATGTAAACCAAATGATGTAACCAATGTAAACTAAATGGGGTTTCCTAAGAAAAGGAGCTGTTTAGTCACCGGCTATATCCACATGTATCCACCAGCTATATCACTCCTTACATTTGGTTTTTCTGTGGTAGAGGAGGAGGGTATATACGTTTTTAATATGCTCCTTCAGTCCTTCTACACGAGTGGAACAAACTTGACAACCCGTGTACTCAATACTGTGAGAGCCCAAGTCCCAAGCGCATCTGAAGATGCCGAGGTCCCTGTCCGCCCGGCACTTTCAACTTGTGTACTTTTCAACTGCCTGCGTGGAGTAACTCTAATTCCTTGTCTCTCTCCTTTGGCACACCTCTAATTTGGTTTGGTCTCACCTGAGGCGGACTCGCGAAGTTCCCAGGCTTGAACGCGCCAAGCGTTATCGATAGCGCTGGCAGTAGTTTTATTTTTATTTGATTTTGAGTAGAGTTAAATTCCCTGCATTTTTTTGCGCATGCTAAAAAATTGCAAAAAACGCTCACTCTGCGTTTAAGTGCAATTTCCATGAGTCTATCGTCTTGTTCTTTTATTTCATAGATCGAATATTGATTTTTGTTTCAGGAGCTAGAACTAAGAATAGAAACGCAGAAACAAACGCTACTTGCCCGGGATGAAAGTATCAAAAAACTTTTAGAAATGCTGCAGAATAAAGGCGTGGGTAAGTTGCGCACAGAAATCTTCTAAATATTTCGTTACCCTCTGGTTTAAATCGCCACTAATTCGCAGTATTACGACGCAAAAAATTAGACGCCTGTAAGGGAAATAATACTGTTTCCAGGAATGAATAATTTTAGATGGAAATCTAGCGCTTAGAGGAACTAACCTCATGGTGAGTTTCTCGAAAAGCGGAAGTCTCTCATTCTAACTCGGCGCACACAATCGAAATCCATCTTTCAGCGAGGAAGCTGAAATACAAAAGATATTTTTTCCTTTGCTACTGTAAATGTTTCCAAGAGATACTCATTTCACAAAGCAGAAACAATTTCAATTAAAAGTTGGGCAATCTCTGATAAAACTCAGCCAAAACCATCACTGCATAGACTCGCGCGACTGCACCAACTTGGGTAGATAAAAATCCAGTCAAGTTATGGGGTAGCAAATATGTCCTTCTAGTGGATCCAGAGAATGGGCCTCTTGCAATTAAACTTTCACTAGAGCAAAAATGAGAGTTGTTACCCACAGAATATGTCTCAGAAATCACGATGAGCGCATCGGAAAAGTCAGAAATGCACTCCTTTCTTCACGATTTGCATAAGAAATTTGCGTTTTTTCGAGCTCCCCGCCTAAAAAACGATACCCCGTCACAGGTGAACATTTCGTTAGAGGAGTCATTCCATCCAACCACTGCTCACAAGGATACTACGCAATTTCAACATAGCCGACGCCAATCTGCCAAAGCAAATGTGACAGGACGATGATTTTAACGACCTGATAACAATCGGCGTGTTTATATTCACATTTTTCTCACGTTGATAGATATCCGCCTTGATTGACCTCGTGCTCTCCTCAACTTGGAAGCGTCGGCTATGTTGAGCAGGGATTCAATGGAACGACTCCTCTAACGAAATGTTAACCTGTGGCGTAGTATCCTTTTTGAAGTGGGAAGCTTAAAAAAACGCAAATTTCTTGCGCAGATTGTGAAGTTAGGAGTGCATTTCAGAGTTTGCCCATGCACTCATCGTGATTTTTGCGATATTATCTATCAGGAACAATTCATATTTTTGGTCTGGTAAAAGTTTGCAACAGGCCCATTGTTTTGGTATAAGTATAAGTAAAAAGAAAGGGAAAGGTGCAGACGAATATAACGTGGACCTCTTTCTTTAGGCTTCCGATTCCGATGCGTGCCTCAAATTCCTCAAAAAGAAAGAAACAAAGAGAGAAAAATTGGCTGATTCTAATAGGTTAGGTTCTTTGAAGTAGATTACCTAATTTGAGAGCCTACCACAATAAAAGTTCAAGACATCATTTCCACTTTAATTATTATTAAATATATTTAGACGCGACCTACTTTGTTCCAGGTAAAGAAGAAGAACGAGCCATGTTGCACCAAATTCAAGCCTTAGCACAGAAACAGGTAAATATTCCAAACAGTACTTAAGCACTTCTTGATTGATTATGCACTTGTAGTTAAAAATTTTTTCCCTTAAAGTTACTGAATGCCTCAACAGTCGTCTGTGAGGAAGATTACTGCATTAATTTTGGCATCCAACTTTATTAAGAGCAGTTGTGCTTAAACTTGTGATCTTTAAAGATCGTGTGCTGTAGGAGCGTAGAGGATATTACGTATACAAAATAGAAAAAAAAGTGTGTGTTCTAAAAACGTTACGTGCTAGAAAAATCCAGTGAAACTTCTTGAAGTGGATGATGTGAATTGGTAGTGAAATTGGACGCCTGGAAGCTTGAGTTATTGTGAAACCAAAATTCTTTTAAATTATGAGCACGATGTACTGCAATCTCCTGGTACCTAATTCTTATTAGAAAGGGTGAACAGATGATAATAGCTATACTTGAAAGTTTTTGGTATTTTTCTCATTATGTTTTTCTTTTATACCTTTTAAGAAGCTTTGTATGTTAAAACGAATGATGAGCATTTACATCGACAAAATGATGGCAAGAGAGACCCACCTGCATTGAGCATTTTGAGTAAGAGGGAACATTTTTGTTTTATGTATGATTTCATAATGGGATGGCTACCGAGACGCTGGTAGAAGGCTTCGCACATTAAAAGCCTCATATTGATACGGCTATTCGAACGCCCATGTCGCAGAAAAATACAGCGCAAAATTGAAGACGAAATATGAAACCAGTACAACCGTATACGACATAATTTTTTTTTACATTATATTCAATGTCGGTTCCTTAAAGTGCTCGGACGAAACACATTGGAGAAGTTTCCGAGTTATTGAAACGAAAGTAGCGGCGAGCTAACCACATGCACATAAAAGTGAATTGGTATACTCAGACAGTAGTTATGAAGACCATTCAGATCCTAGTAGTAGTGCACAGCATTGAATCCGGGAATATTGGTAATATGTTTTTATGACTGAATCAGTCATCAAATTTCGAGTTGTGACAAATTTATCTTTGATCGTTAAGCAAAAAGGAACCAACTTTAATGACAAGGAACTTATCAGCTGGCTGAAAGCGGTTAGCAAAAATATACAATATTCTTAAGATTTCGAAGAGGACTTTTTAATTTGGGTGAACTGTGGAACTTCTGTTGATTTTCAATTAAAATAATTCAATTTTATGGTAACGTCAGCGTATGTTTCACACTCATGTAGAATTTCTTCCTTCCTTCAGACTCGATAAAATCGATAAATTTTCACGGAAAAAACGAAGTTTGTTCCTTTCAGTTTTCTAAACATCGATTTAGTTCACCGGAAAAGAAGAGGTGTGAATCAATAAAGATAACTCTCACACAGAATGCCAAGGAAAAAAATACATGACGTTCTTGTTTCCAAAAAACTTGGTTCTTTTTTGCTGCACGTGATAGCCCGACCGATATAATGAAACGCTTGGGTTTCATTCATTCCATAGGTATTAATTGCTTCCGATAAAGCTTTGGACACAATAACTTACGCTCTGGTGAGTCCTCTACAGAAACGATACTTCATGATCGTAATTAGGGTAGAATACATTCAAAATACCACTGCAAAAATTCACGCATCCTAAATATAGTGGACATTTTAGGACAAATAAAATCCTCAGTAAATTCCTTTGCATGTGTTTAGCATTTGAGGTATTTGAAGCTGATATCGAGCTGGTACTGCACATTAAGTTTTAAATTAATCCCTCCAGAGGTTCAGTATGTAAAATTGACCACGATAAGTAAATCTTTCGTAAAACCCTTTCAAATTTGTAGTTTTAAAAGTCGATTTATTCATTTGTTCATACATTTATCATTCATTCTTATACCACCACCCAAGTATGCACGATTTATTTTTGGCTGAACTATTTGAGCGGCATTTCCTTTTCATTTGGGTAGTTTATGCGCGAGTAAATGCATTCCATTTTTGTCTATAGACTGCTCCAGACCTACGTCATAAACAGGAATCTATTATCCGGACAGGCGTCGAATTTTCTATTACATTTTTTTCGAATTTTTTCTTTTTCTCTGGATTCAATTCGATAAAATTGATACCTGTTCTGGGTGGTAATCTGATTAATGGCGCCTGATCAGTGGCAGTCTATTTTCATTCCACTTCTCCAAGTTACGGATAACCCGGAAAATGTATTGTTTGACGTCATCACGGTACAACTCGAAAAGGCGGTTGTTTCGGGTTGGTTCAAAAACACATTAGGTCACTTCTACAATACGTTTTCCGCGTATCGTGAATGAGTAATCCTTAGAGGTCTATAGTTATACCAACAGAAATTCATGGTTGGCCGAGTATTTGGCATTAATGAGTGGGTCTCTTTCCCGTGAATATCAGGAACGACGTTGAAAAATTCTAGTTAGAAGAAAAATACCTGATCAAACGAAATCAAACGACCTACTTAATCAGACGCATTAGTCAAACGAGAGGCGAACGTCTTGAAAACGTAAATTGATCAGTATCTTTACTTCTGTTCAAAGTTAAACGGAATAATAAGGTGGAGTCGAAAGTAAAAATGTTAACACAAGTTTCAGCAAAAAACGTGAAATAAGTAAAATATTTGGAAATGAAGAGAAGATTCCTGACTTCGGAAAAGTCTATTGAGAGGAAAAATTACACGAGGACTACAACCTCTGCACGATTTTGACCTTCATGAATCTGGCTACTATGTTTTATATATTTACGTAAATTTTCTATTTTGATAAGTGAGTAGATGTTTTTGAAACAATAGATATGTTGTTTTCTCGTGAAAGTTTATGTTGTTTGCTTCGTACGTTTTATACTTGCCCGTTGACAGTTTGCAAGAGTGCTTGTAAAGTTGTAAGGTTATAAATTTGTTGTTAAGTATCTAAGCTGTGAGTAACGATATAAAGCCTCCATTTTTGTCCCAGGTACACTAAAGATTTTTCAGCTTTGTAGGATACGCGTAGATTTGGATTATTGAGCTTGAAGTCCATTTGATTCATCATTTAATTGGGTTTAGAAGGACGACCGTCGAAAGATTTGCTTTATTCATTACAGCTGCTGTAAATATATCACCAGTTCAAAAGCTATGTGAATTTTAGATTTCTAATAGTTACGCAGAAATCTGAATTGAGCAAACTTTTTATGTGAATAATAAAGTTCGATAATATTCTTCGTGGATATGGAATCGGGGTTGTTCGTGATGCTGTGAGGTTGTATGAACTTTTAGTTGATGTGCAAGAATTTACGGATTCTAACAAGAAAAACGACCGCACTGGAATACAAAAGGCGGAATATAACTTAGTATTAGAGTAATGAAATTATATGATGATTAAGACAGTAATAATCAAGACATTTTTTTTCACCACGATTGCAACATAATTTAATTAATGAAATTCCCTGACATTTCCTTGATTTTCCTGGCACGTGTCGGTAAAATTTTTTGACAATTGAGGATATGCCAGATGGTTATGAAGACACAATTTTAAACAGTTTGCGCGCAAAATTTATTACGTTCCAAACGAGAGGAACTAGTTCCAATTTTAGAGAGCAAATAACGGGGACTCAACACTTATCCCCCGCCACTCTCGTCATTTTCCTTGACATTTTCAGGTTTTCCCCTATTTTTCAAAAGCTCCTGACATTTTCTGGTCTCTGACTGTGGTAATCCTATTTAACGCTTTTAAAGCTTTCGGTGAATGAAAAGAGTAAATAAAGTCTGTAGAAATAAGTGGCTCATAAAATATGTAGTCTAAGTTCCATGTCTAATCATTGTCTCCTAACAAAAATGAAGCCTTTAAGTGAATTGCAGTGGCGTGGCGAGCTTCGCAACATATCGATTGATCTGCTATTTGAACCGATGGAAAAAGATCGATAAACAGGGTTTTCGCAACGGACACCTCAATGATCGATTCTTTACCATAGCTTCAAATGGGGAAATATCGATAGATCGTTCACGCCTTGCCACTGATGAATCGGTTTACGTTGGACGAGCGCAAGTCCAAAAACTCATGAGCCCTGGCTTCCGTCGATTACGCAGGACGCTAGGGCTCACGAGTTTTTGGATTTCCTGGACTGGATTCCGCTCCAGTTCCCTCAATTTACGCTCGCGTTCACGCCCGCGTGTAGATTATGTATTGAGCCGCGTTACTGCCTCATGTCTTCTGGAGCACCCCCCCCCCTCACAATCCCCGGCTGCGGGACGGACTCGAAACTTTTTATCTCGCGCCTGCAGCTGAAACGAATGCAATCCGCATTGCAAGCATATTTCGCGACTCGAAGACTCATTACTTAGCGTGTAACACTTGCAACAACTTCGCTCCGAGCCGATAAGCGTGCGGAAAGAGGCGAGGAAACTGATGTTGCCGTATCGGAATTTTATTCTCCGTTTTTAAAGAAAGCGGATTTTACGGAAAAAGCTGTCTCTAGATAGTATTGCCGTTCTGAGGAAGAAAGCCGTATGAACATCAGAGAGTTGCCAAATTTCTTCCGATAAACTATTAATTTTTAAAGAGAGATATGAAGATTTTTCAGGGAAATTTTCGAATACTATAGATTGAATTACGAATGAAAATTCTGTTGAAAATTTCTAGAAAAATATCCACAAGTATCCCGGCAAATTCGCATCTCATAGGAGGGAATTTGGCAGCGTCTGAAGGCTCATGTGGCGTTTTCCCTAGGCATGGTAGAGCAATCAGTCGTTTCTCAGCCGAAGGAAAGTAACTCAAAGTCGACGTCGCACAATTGACTAAAAAATGCCGCCCATGGGCCGCCTGTATTTTGCCGCCCCCTTCTCATTCGTTTCGAAACATCAATAAAAACCAACAAGTAAATGTGCCGGAGGGGCAGGGGTGCATAAGTTACATACTCGTGTTGGATACATTTTTTGCGAAAGCCGTGTCAACACTTCTAGCAAAATTTCACGGAACTTTGCGCGAAAGTTAAGTTCCGTAAACATATCTCTGTGTGGACAAGGTCCTCCAGTTAGAAGAAATGAACCAAAAAATTATGA